GTAACAGATATTGGCCTGCTCAGTCTCAAGCAGCTTCCTCCAGCCCGAAGTTCATCTTAGTTAAACACAAGATAGTGTCTGGCTGGCACTTACCACGTGACTCGCCGTCACAGGCTGGGGCTTGGAAGGAGGTTGAGAGAAGGTTGAACTCAGCCTTTCCCAGGAAACTGCTTTTATACTGAGATACGTGACCAGAAGCTCAAAAAGGTATTGTATGTAACTTATGTCCTAAAGAAACATTGGCTTGGATTAGTAGATGGTTGGCTGTAATGCTCACATTATACTTCCTATACGGGAGAGATGACCCTTGCTGAGTTCAAAATGAGACCAACCTAGGAGATTGTATGTTAACGCTGGATTCTGCCCAAGTGAGTGATGAGCATGTGACAAGCATAGATTTTATGAGAAACTATTGAGGAGTGGTTGAACAAAGTAAGGATGTTCAGTGCATGCATACACACACACACACACACACACACACTCATAATCCTTGCCCAATATTTTAAATGCTGTTGGGTTGAAGAAGAAGGGATTGGGAGCCTTGCTGGGGTCAAGCTATCAATTCTAGCGTGCATTAAAGAAAGGAAGTGGCTCTGTTCAGCTGGTAGTAAAAACATATGGATGTGTAAGTTAAGCTATTCAAGACTAGACGTGTGCGTGTGTGTGTGTGTGTGTGCGCACGCGCGTGCAAAACTTAACAATGACTTGCCCTTCAAGGGTACATTCATTTTGATGTGTAAATTGAACCTGTTATCATTTCCTGTTATCTGAGGTGGCCACGGTCATGATGGCTGGTAATGGTGCAGTATATATGTAGAGTGACTCCCAAATTAGTATGACACATGCTGTAAATTAGAATTCTTTTTAAAATTATTACTTAATAGGGGTGTGGGGGTGCAGTTCTCACCAAGTTGAGGTAGACATGTTTATTGCTTTGAATGCTTCTGCTCATTACGTCCCTGGTTTTTCATTTCCTATGAGCATCCTGAATGGTCTGGGTTAAGGAGAGAAGACAGAAGCTGGATCTTCAGGCTCTTAGACCATATCTCTTTCACACTGAATGCATTTGATATTTCTTCCTTCTCTCAAGACTTAGTGTATTCGCATTCTCCAGAGACATAGAACCAGTATTCCCCTGCCCCAGCTCAGGCCTCTGGGACTATCACGGGAGTCCATAACTGTCTCACTTCAATCCTCCACAGCAGCCGCCAGGGCCATCCTTCCAAAACAAAGATCTGATCATGTGGCTGCCCCACCTTTTAAAAGCCTTCCATGGCACTCACTGGCACCTGAACTGGTTCTTCTTAATTCAGCCCTGCCCAAGCCTTATCTATTATCATTAATTGAGCATGTACT